GGCAGAATCCTCTGCAGGCTGGCAGCACGTACTGAAGGCAGGAACACAAGAGGGACTGCTCTGACCTTGGTGTCCTGCTGGGCAGCACAGGAGGGAATGCCAAACTCTAAAAGCAAAGCTATTGATTGGGCCTGGGAGAGGGGAGTGATGCAAGAAAGCTGTAAAAAGTTATTCATGGCCAACAGGAGCACGGTGATTTAGGGGTTGGATTGATGATAACAGGATGGAAAATGTGTGCCCACAGACATCAGACAAAGGGTTTGCTGAGGAAATAGGGAGGCAGGAGATACAGGGGGTGAGCTCCTCATGGAGACAGGGGAGGCTGGGCTGCACCCAGGCACTCTGTGCTGACCAGGGCTGACCAGGGAGGGTGCAAGGACAGCCCCTTCCTCCTGTCCTTATTTCTGCTCCTCTCTGCCCTCACTGAGCTCAGGAAAACACTGCCAATAGCACTCAGGCATCTCTGCAGCCTCCTATTACCAGGGCTGAGCAGTGAAGCTCCTTGGATTGCCTTTTCTGTCATTAGTGCATTAACTGACTCTAGGAGGCTCTAATTTAGTTACCAGGAACACAGGCCTGAACATGAACAAGCACAGCCCTGTTACACCTCAGAGCTGCAGCCTTCTGCTGCTGGGGACACTGACCTGGGCATGCCAGTGCCACAGGGAGATGGTGGCACCCAGCAGGGCCAGGCAGCATGGCTGGGGAATCAGGCACAGAGAGCTGGAACCAGCATGGACAGGATGGGGAATCGAGGCACAGAGAGCTCGGGAATTGAGGCACAGAGAGCTGGGGAATTCAGGCACAGAGAGCTGGGGAATTGAGGCACAGAGAGCTGGAACCAGCATGGGCAGGATGGGGAATTGAGGCACAGAGAGCTGAGGAATTCAGGCACACAGAGCTGGTACCAGCATGGACAGGGATGGGGAATTCAGGCACAGAGAGCTGGTACCAGCATGGGCAGGATGGGGAATTGAGGCACAGAGAGCTGGGGAATTGAGGCACAGAGAGCTGAGGAATTCAGGCACAGAGAGCCGGAACCAGCATGGACAGGGATGGGGAATTCAGGCACAGAGAGCTGACACCCAGCAGAGCTGGAGCAGGGTCTGTGGCTGCAGAAAGGAGCCTGCAGGACCCCCGTGAGCACCCAGAGCAGTCCAGCAGGGAGCCACGAGCTGGGGCTGTGCAAACCAATGTGACACTGGCGTCCCTGCAGGCTGCCAGGGCAGAGCCTGTCCTGTGCAATCCAGCAGGCACCTTGGCCGTGCGCTGGCATCTCCTAATGAGCACTGGCAGTGCACACAGGCACAGCAGCACTGCTGCTTCTCCAGCCATTAATATTACATCCGTGGGCTGCTTAATTTGCTGCTCCTCACGGAGCTGGAGCAGGGAGCCTGCATAATGAAGCATTTGTTGACAGAGGTCTTCATATCACATCAGCAAGAAGGGAGAAAATGATCTTGTTTCAGGCACATTGCTTGACTCCAGTGACCTTGGCCCTTGTGAGGCTCTGAGGATGAGCAGGGCCCAGGTGCTCTGCTCCTCTCAGGCCATTAGTGCTGCCAGCTTGGAGCTTCACCTGTTTAAGCTTCCAAAGAGCACATCCCTGATTCCAGTGGAAGGAGCATTATTTCTGCATGAGGAAGGTGATGGGTGTTGGCAGGCAAACGCTGCTCAGAGAGGTGCTTAAGCAGATGGCTGGGTAAGGGCACAGGCAGGGCCCACCTGGGAGCTTTCAAACAGAAATGAACTGGAAGCAGAACACAAATCCTGTCTCCTCAGCACTTTGCAGTGATACCCAACCTTGGTTTAGAGCTCTCCTGTGCTCAGGGGACTGCTCAAGCTGCGGCCAGACAGGGCAGGGAGGGATGGCTGCTGCTGCATGGGGAGTTCAGGCTGGCACCTTGTACACCCCTGTGCTCACACCTGTGTGCAGGACTCACCTGTGCTCAGACACACCTGTGCAGGACACCCCTGTCCTACAGGACACCCCTGTGCTCACACCTGTGCTCAGGTCACCCCTGTTCCCCTGGCAGCCCCTGGGCTGAGCCCCTGTGCTGGGGAGGGCTGCCAGCAGGACAGCAGGACAGCAGGACGGCAGGACAGCAGGACAGCTCTGAGCGCTGCTGGCACTGCTCTGCTGGCACTGATGTGTGGCTGCAGCGCTCAGGGACGGGCTCTGGCACCACAATGAACATGTAGGAATGTGTGACAGAGGTCCTGGGCTTTCAGGACTAAATAAATTCATCTCTGGGAGTTTTTGAAATGCTGGAGGCAGTTTCTGAACGCACCATTTGGCAGTGGCAGCTCCTTCCCCGGGCTGATTCCTCAGTGATGCTCGCTGGACTGTGATCAATAGCAGGAGCCCAGCCAGGCTCTCCCTCACTCAGTGCCACGGGTGGGAGGAAGGCTCTGCCGGGCTGCACTGCTCACCAGCAGCTCCCACAGCACAGCTGAGAGCACACACAGAGCTGAGCTAAAGCCTCTCCGGGGTGCTCCTTTCATTTACATCCCATTCATTACCCAAACGAGGTGTGAAAGTGGCTTCTGGAGCTGCTTGGTGCAGGCTGCACAGAGATGGAATTCCTATTCTGGTTTTTGAAGTCAACTCCAGAGAAGTCTTGTTTCAAACCAGTTATTTACCTGCATTGCTCAGACTCCGAACTCACTGGTGTTTAATGCAGCTGGGTCTAAACCACCATATATTTAAGACGGCTGAAAGGGAGGCTTTTAAAATGAAAGAAGAGAGTAAAGAACCAGCTTACCTGATTTATAGGAGCATTGAGTTTCTACTCCTGATTGTATTCATGCATAAAGTCTCTAAAAAGAACCAAACTGTATCAGATAAATCTCCTTTTTTTTTTGTTAACGTGCCTCAATCAGTCTGCTCACAGGAAGAGAGACTCAAACATGAAAACAAGAGGCAACTGCACAGAAGAAAACAATAAGGTAATTAAAAACTCTCACGGGAGAGTGCCTGCTGTCAGCAGGGCTCTTTATCAGGTTCAGGAGATTGCCAGTGGGAGCCACAGCTGCAGAACGTTGTGTGTGTGCAGCACATCAACACCAGCACTGCTTTAGTGATGGGAAACAGGATTTAGGATCCTGTTTGCCAGCTGGGATCTCAGCTGATTGCCTAAAACACGGAATTCCTCCTGGGATGCTCAGGGTGCAGGGGGCTTTGCTCAGCAGTGTGGGCCCTGTGCAGTGCAAAAAGGGAATGTACACAACACCCCCTCCCAAAGACACACATATGCAAAAATCCCAGCAGGAACTCGATGTATTCTGCTAATTAGCAGATTAATTAGGGTGTTTGCTTGCATACAGGTGGCGACAGGTCACTCTCAGGATGCTGCACAGAGGGGTTCTGTCACAGACGTGCAGTGACTCTGGGCACAGCACCTCACCCTGGGCTCCACAGGTCAGTAAGGAACACACCTTGCTCAGAGCACTGTGAGCTCCATGGGAAAGATCACTAGAAATAAACTGCATTATTTATGGCACTGCCCTATGAGAGTGGCCAGTTCCAGCTGCTGCACACACAGGCAGCTCTGAGCAGGCACAGATCTGCTGCCAGGATCCCCAGTGCTGCAGCTGGAGGCTGTTTGTGCTCTGAGCACATCTCTGTGCTTTGTGCTACCAGAGCAACTTGGGTTAGTGGCTGCTGTTCCCCAGAGGCAGCTGAGGCAGCAATGGGATGGAACAGGAATGGGATGGAGCAGGAATGGGATGGAGCAGGAATGGGATGGAGCAGGAATGGGATGGAGCAGGAACAGGATGGAGCAGGAATGGGATGGAGCAGGAACGGGATGGAGCAGGGACGGGATGGAGCAGGAATGGGATGGAGCAGGAACGTGGTGGAGCAGCAATGGGATGGAGCAGGAATGGGATGGAGCAGGAATGGGATGGAGCAGGAATGGGATGGAGCAGGGACGGGATGGAGCAGGGATGGGATGGAGCAGCAATGGGATGGAGCAGGAACGGGATGGAGCAGGAACGTGATNATGGAGCAGGAACGGGATGGAGCAGGAATGGGATGGAGCAGGGATGGGATGGAGCAGGAACGGGATGGAGCAGGAATGGAATGGAGCAGGGACGGGATGGAGCAGGAACGTGATGGAGCAGGGATGGGATGGAGCAGCAATGGGATGGAGCAGGCAGCTCTGGGCAGAGCAGGGTGACAGGCTGCTCCCAGCACAGTCTGTACCTGCTCCTGCCAAGGAGGGGCCTGGCCACACGCTGGGGAGGCAAACCTGCACTCACACCTGGGCTCCAGAGACACCTGGGCACTGTCACCCTGCCTGCCTCACTGCAGACACCGCGTCCTGATGTGCAAAAAGCACCCAAAATAGCCCCAGAGCTGGAGGCAAGGCTGGGCTGGACCTGCTAGGAGGCTGCCTGTCTGTGCTGCAGCTCCAAGGCTGCTCACCTCACCTGGGAGCTCAGGCAGAGCTTGTCTGGAGCCTGCACTGTCCTGTCCTCACTGCTGCACCTGGTTCTGCACTCACTGCTGCACCTGGTCCTGTGCTGTCACGGCTGCACCTGGTCCTGTGCTGTCACTGCTGCACCCCATCCTGCCCTGGGTCATCCAGGCCTTGAGCAGAGGCACTGTAAGAAAGCAAAGACCATCTGATCTCCAAAGTTTTGGGCACATTGGCTCTGTCCACTCACCTGCTCCCTTAGAAGGTGCATAGCCACAGGTGGATCTTCCAGAGGAGAAAAGCAGACCCCAAACCCACAAACTCACATACTGGGCTCTCAGGCTAGAAATAAAGCACGTGGATTTATTTGCAAATAGTTCCAAATCTTGTTAGGGTGACTCGGTGCACATACATCTGTAGCATGACAGGTTGCTGGTGCTGCCTGTGGTCCCCCAGCACTGCCAATACAATTCTGTGAGTGGATTGTGCCTCCTGCATCCATCAAAGCCCTCTGTCTGTACTGCTGCCAGCCTCCTCAGGGTGAACGTTCTGACAGCCAAAGGAAAGAGGCGTGCGGAGTAGGAAAAAAAGATGAAGCCACTAAAATGCAAATTTTATTCACAGTTGGCATGTTTATAAATATATATATTACATTCTTACAATCTACAGTACATTCTAAATATAGAGGGATTCAATCTAAGTGTTTGTGGGAGGGCGGGTGTGTATTAAACTGAGCAACCTAGATTCAATCTTGGAAGACTTAACAAAAAGGGGGCAAGGACTGACTCCAGAAAATAAAGGGGAGCTTGAAATATTTTTCTATATCAAATCCATGACCTGGATTTTAGCTAGTGCTTTGGCACTTTGCCACTGGCCATTGGAGGCTGCTGTTGGACCTCACAAGACATGTCCTGGTTTGAGGCAGGAGGGCACGTCGGGTTGGAAGGGTAGTCACTGAAATCCTACTGTATGTACATCCTTACCAAGAAAACAGAAGATAACCATCACCCCTGGGAGAAACAAACGCTATCTGCTGAGCTGAGCTGGGCAGGGTTCAGTGTGGAACGTGCAGCTCTCCCTGTGACCTCCCAGTGCCCTCTGCACGTGCTGGGCTAAGGATGGGGGGCACAAGGAGCTGAACACCCCCAGCTCCCCAGGGCAGGGGAAGGAGCGAGGGGCAGCTGGGGGCAGTTCAGCACAGGGGGCACTGAGCCCAGGGACAGGGACAGCCCTGGGAAGGGACAGCAGGGAGGGCCAGGACAGCGTGGTACCAGCAGGGCTGTGCTCGGCTGGAGCAGCCCTGGAGTGATGTGCACGGGAGGGAAGGGAAGGGACCACAGCTCCAAGGCTGACTGATCTGGGAAGTGCCCTCAGGATACCAGACGGGGAGCTCCAGGGAAAGGGCTGGGAATACAAATCCAAAACAGGACAATCAAACAAAGCGGGCTTTTAAAAATAGCTCATTCTCTCAAACTTTCCAAAAGACCCTCCTTAGGATGAGTGATAGTCTGAGTATAGATCATATCTTCTCCTATTTTACAAATTAACAAATACCCAAAATTGGCTGGCAAAGTTTATGACCTTGGCATCTACTTAAAAAGAGAGTTTCAGTTTGAACTGTATCTGTGTATCCACTGTCAGTGCTTGGGAGGCAAACATGCTGGTTTGTAAACAGCCCAGTTACGCCTTTATCCCCTCCAGACTCTTTGGAAATCATGACTCCTCAGCTCTGGGAGCTGCTTCATTCACTGTTGGTTTTTGTCAGCTTTAAATGAATGTTCCTGGATGGATATTCTCTGCACGTGGCCTGAACGACATGCTCTTCTCATGGATCTATTTATTCTCAGACCAATCTCTTGCTTTTAACCAAAGCTTGCAATATCGAACAGCAGAGCTGTGTGAGCTTTGTATTATCCAAACTGCACTGGAGTTTGTTATATTTATTGATTTCCTGGGAAAGCACAGAGAATGAGACTGTATTATTTTTCTAAGTTTTTTTTTTCATGTTATCGTGTATCAAAAACCCACACACATCTCTCACTTCCATCTCTGAGCACAGAGAGGACTTGAATTTTAACAGCTGTCCAGGATCTCTGCTCTCCCAGCTGCTTTTGGGTGGCTTCTTGGGGCTCCAGTGAGTAATTATCCACCAGCTGATTCCTGTCAGAATACAACACTTTGCCCCACTACCCAAAATTAAAGGCAGAAGGTGAGTGAAAAACAAACAAACGAACAAACCAAACCAAAAAAGTCTTTTGTGTCTCATTACGCGTTTTCGTGTAACCTCTCCATGTAGTTTTTAAGCTCCTTGCACTCCCCCAGGTCTATGTCCTGGCAGACCCATTTAATGTCATCCTCGTTACTCATCAGGATTGAGTTGACAGTTGGACAGCCATCGTCAGAGGAGATGGTGGTGAAGGTGGTGAATTTCACCCGTTTCCTCTTGGAGGTAGGAGAAGCGGTTGGCTCACTTTTCTGTTCCTTGCCCTCACTGAACGTGGACTCAGGAGCCCTGAAGGACTGTCCGTTGATGTTTTTGGTGGCAGTTGTGCTGAGGAGGTATTTGCTCTCCTCGTAGTCCACCCCCCTGTCGATGGCTGTGATTTGCTCATCCTGCTGGGATGAGAAGTTGATGTGATTCTCCAGCAGCTCTGTCCTGTTGCTCAGCCCCACCCAGTCATGAGAGTGGCTCATGCCCTCCTGCTCCTCGAAGGGAACCTGCTTGTTCCTGTACTTGAGGGCGAAGGTGACGCAGTTGATGAGGAACACCAGGATGGCCAGGCAGAAGACGCCCAGCAGGGCGTACATGCCGATCTCCAGGTCGCTGAGCCCGCGGGGGGACGGCACCAGCTCGCTGTCCTCGGTGTCCCCAGCGGCCCTGGGCAGATCCACCTGGGCGGGGAAGCTGGTGAAGTCCAGGGGCACGTTCTGGCTGGCATCGTCCAGGAGGCTCTCCCTGTCCTCCTTCCTGCTCAGAACAGACCTGTGCGTGGTGGCGGCCCTGCCCTGCTCGTGGCCCATGGAGGAGCTGGAGTAGTGCCCGTCCCCTCTCTCCTGCCAGGGGCCCTTGTGGCGCCGGTCCCCCTCCAGCTGGACACCCCTGTGCTTGCTGTCGCTGGCGTTGGGGCTGCCATCACTCTGCCCAAACTTGACCTTGATGCTGCCACTCCCGACAGCCAGGATGCTCTTCCTTTTGGATTTCTGGCACGACTCGCTGATCACCATCTCCACCTTCACCAGCGTGCCCTGGCCCTCGGTCTCAGCAGCAATCACAGGCCACTTGAACTTGGGGTCGTGGTGGATGGACACCACCTTCTCATCCAGAGAGGTGGCTGACAAGGAGAAGTCTTTGGAGTCATAAATATCCAGGGGCATGACAGATCCATCACTGAACTGGATCCAGCAGCTGATGGCTGCTTCCTGTAATACATAAAACAAACACAGACCCACTCAGAGTGATCCTCAGGGAAATGCGCTCTGCTCTGGTCTGCTCCCTCCTCCTCACAGGATCCTCACACCATTAGTGATCAGAACAGAAATAAATAGGGAGAGCAGTGAAATTAATATCTTGCCAAGGTGTGAAGAGAAATCTAAAACACTTGTTGATAATAAGATTGGTTTCCACAAAAGTGCTTAAAGGAGCTGTATCCCCTGGGCTCTGCAGAATCTACTTCAGCACCATAATAAATTGCATGTCAGGGAGCATTACCAGTGACTGAGATCATTTACTGTTGTGTATTTACATTAAAAAAACCCAACATTATTTCTAAACTGCCTAAAATACAAAGTCTCCTCTCATTACACAAAGCACATGTTAAAAGATGGCTAATGCAGCAAACAGGTCCACACATGACTCCACACCTTCACTCCTTGATTCCTGTCTCTCAAATTAAATTAGCAGATTGTATAAGCAGAGGAAACCAATCAGTTGCTTCTTTAGAAAACAGCCAGGGCAATTTTTACGCTTGTTAGCAATTAAAAGCAAGACAATAATAAAGTTTAATCTTGTGTCACAGCAATGCAAATTGTGTGCTCCAGTGTGCATGGAGGCTTTCACTGAATGCCAATGAATCTGACCTGGGTACTAAGAACATGCCTCATGCTGCAGCTTTCCTGGGATCCTTGACTTTTGGCTTCTGACTTGAAACATTTTAAAGTATTTTTGTATTTCAGAAAACATGTGCTCACCCATTTCTGAAAATCAGGTCCTCTAAAGACTCTCAAATGGCTACTGAAAATTGTTGTGGCACCTGAAAAACAACTTTGTATTCCTACATTGATCTTTACATATAAAATTCAAGTTCTCTTCTGGAATCTCATTCCTGCTTCTGATGGTCTGAGCTGTCCTGGTTGGGGTATCTGCACTGCAGAATCCCCACCAGACAGACCTGGCCTCATCTGTGGATTCTTTACTGTCTGAAATGAGCTTTTCTATGGTCAGAGCTGGGATCACCTTGCTGTGAGAGTCTGACAGACAGACAGCCACCCATCCAACAAATCAACTTGTGAACACTGTGAATATCAAAGTCCTGTTTCTGTAAATAAGCAGTTTTTCATACAGACAGCATTTACATTTTAACTCCACATATGTACAGAGAACAAACACGTTATCCTTTAAAGTGCTCACAGCACAAAGTCATTCACCTGTTCAGAGCATGGAGAATAAGCTTCCATTCCTGTGGGACTGCAGGGTGCTGATTCTACTGGCCTGATTCCGAAATCCTCCGAGCCACAAAGCTCCCCCTGCTTCAATGGGAGATTTGCTTCTGTCTCTATTTCAGGCCAGAGCCCTAAGACTTTGCTGACACTGTCATAAATCCCAGCTTTGTGTTTATTAATCTTTGGCTGTTTCTTGAAGGCTGCATAGAATTTATGTCATCAACTCTCATCCTCCCACTGTGTTGCTTAAACCTGCATAATCATTTAATAATTTTGCATTGCTTTGCTTATAGAGACTGCTCTGAAAATCACATCCTGAGCATTGGAGGGACTCAGCTGCCTTTGAAAGCAGAGCCAGCCCTGCCAGTGTGGGGGGCACAGAGTTTCCTCTCTGGTTTTTGTGGATCCTTGACTGCAGCCCTGCAGGAAGGACCTGCCCAGACTCCATTGCTGGGCACACAGTGGGGCAGAGTGGCACCAAGCCCTGCCCCTGGGCTGGCCTCAGGGCCCTTTGTCCAACCCCCTGGGCCATGGATGAGCTCACTGGCCTTCCCTCCACCTGCCTGCCATCGATTCCTTCACTCCTGGAACACTACACATTTTTATCACCCTATAACGACAGCAGCTCTGCATTATTTCTCATCCTGCATCCCAAGGAAAATGGGGATTTTAATTCAGCCCATGATGAATTAAAGTACCTCAGCAGTTGGCCAAACTTCAAATGGGGATGCCATTTGCCTTTAAAACTCAGAACATGCTCAAGTGTTAAGAGCGCAGTGTATCCTTGATGAAAGTCCCAGACTGATGGATTTGGTTTGGAAAAAGAAGTTTACATTTCAAATGTGTACAGAAGCACAAGGACAAATACCAAGCAGGGACTGATGAGGCCATGGCAAAGTCCAAAAGCCCTTGGTAAGTGTTGGTTCCCTAATAAAGGAACTAAGGGTAATAAGGGAAAAAAATGGTTTATGAAATCATGAATCAGGAAATGAGTCAGTGATGCTGATTCACATTCTAGTAATGAATCAGAATGAAAGGGATGCTCCCTGACTTCTTAAAGTGCTCACAGGAAGTGACTAAAGGAGAAGAGTCTGGCACAACATGAGGCACTTTCTTGTGTACAGGTGGAATGAAAGGGGTGATTTGGATACCTGTGGTGACAGGCTGAACATGGCAGGATATCCTGGGATCCAGAGGGTGCTGGATGGGACAGAAAAGGTTGTGTGTGTGTCTGGGCACAGACCTGCTTTGGGGACTGCAGCAGCTCCTGTGCCACTGCAGTGGCAAAGATGGCCCTGTTGCTGCCCGGGCTGAGCTGCAGAGAGAGGGACAGTCCTGTCACCAGCTGCACTCCCAGGTCAGTGATTGTCACCTTCTCGTCCAGCACTGTCACTGTCTTCTCAGCCAAGATGGCATCTGAAAGGGGGGACAGGATCTGGAAAGGAAAGCTGCAGTTACTAACAGCCCCTTTGTACAGCACCGCGTGAAAGAACTGCACAGGATTCATGGAACACACATAAGGGATGCTCATGGCAATGGGATTTCTCACAGCAGACACCATTAAAATATGATTTAAAAGGGCTACTCACATTTTGTAACTCTTCTGCAATAATGAGGGCCTTAAAACACCTTTTACCTGTCAACTGTAATCAGCTGTGCCACTCCCCTCTGCAGTGTGCCAACATCTGCTTCAGATGTGCTGTCTGTAAATGTAATTGCCACACACATCTGCCTCACATCTAGTAACTAGTTGTAAATGTAATCTTCATGAGAAATTTAAGTATTTGATTAATCCTCATGTTTTGAGGTGGCATAAATATAATGTAGTCTGTAGATTTATATAAAATCCACTGAATAAATGGTATTTATATCTAAGCTGTGGAAAGGAAGGGTAATGTATTGCTACAACAACCTCTCATGGTACTGAATGCAAAATTGACAGAGAGAATTTGTTTTGGTTAAGAAAATACACACAGAGGTCAGTGCAGTGATACATGACATCCACGGTGCTCATTAGCAGGGAGTTGAATTTAATGATCCATACAGGGTACAGAGCATCTCTGAAGCAGCTCATAAGAGGTATTCTTTAAATATAACTTGCTCTCAGATTTTACCCTTGGATTTTTCTTTCCACAGTTTTATGTACATTGGCTGGAGCACTGTAAATTCCAGGGCTTTAGAAAGGCATTCAGAAAATCTCTGCAGATTGTGCAGAAAGTCAAAAATCTCAAATCCCATTTTTGCAGCCTTGACAACCTCGTTATCGACAGGTGTGCTGCTTGTTTTGTGCTTTGACACTTTGGGATGATAAGCATGTTTGGAGAGAGATCTTCTCCCTGTTCTAGTGTTTGTTAACACGTATTCTACTTCAGTATCACTGAAATAATCTCTCCCCCCATCTCCTTTTCCTTCTCTTTTAATTAATATTTGGATTAGTATTCCAGTCTCACTTCCTTAACCTGGATAATTTTCACTTTACCCTTTGCTCTGTAGTGCAGGCTGGGAGAACACTGAGCTGTTCAGCAGCTGCATGCCTTGTGATCAAATCCTGGCTCCAGGTTCAGAAGCAGCCTTAGACAAAAACAATCAGAAAAAGCCTCCCAATAGACAGCCAGGATTAAATTAAATGAAACTGTGATCTACTGCACTTTGGGGCAGCAGATAAGGAGAGAAAACCATCTCTGCCATGTCTTCTGGTTCTTGCTCCAATTCTGTTCCATTCAGAAGCTCGTGGCTCCAGTTTCTGTTTTTAATGCTGGGAGGGGAGTTGAAGGGAACAGAACACATCAATGATCTCCCTACCTGGATTGT